CATAAAACCTGAAAATAAACCTACAAAAATATCTAAAAATCTTATTACTGAATGATAGTACTTGCAATAAACCTACAGATATATATAAAATCCCATTTACTGAATTAAAAATGTGACAATAAATATAATAAAATGTTTAGAAATCTAGTTATTGAATAATAGAACCTAACAATAAGTTTGCTAAAAATAAAAAAAACGTGTTCCTGAATAACAGAACCTGACAATATATTTACTAAATATAAATAAAAATGCTTGTTACTAGATATCAGGACTTCACAATAAACCTAATAGAATAATTAAATGTTTAAAACCTAGTTATTAAATACAAGAAAATAATCATAAACCTACTGAAAATATTTTAAAATGTTGTTGTTAAATAATAGAACCCAACAATAAACCTACAAAAAAAATCTGGAAACCAATGTTACTGAATAGCAGAACTTTACAATAAACATACAAAAAAGATCTAGAAATCCTTGTTACCAAATAAACAAAACTTGCAATATATTTGCATAAAATTATCTCAAATCCTTGTTACTGAATAACAGAAGATGATGATAAACTTACTAAAATGTTTAAAAACCTCAGTTATTAAATAACAGAAGATGATGATAAACTTACTAAGATATTTAAAAAACTGAGTTATTTAATAACAGAAAACAATAATAAACCTCTAGAAAATTCCAAATATCTTTCTGAAAATAAACATACTATACTAAAATACTATATTACTAAATAGCAGAGCTTGATGAGCAGCCTACTAAACATATTGGATAAAAGGATAAGAAATTTTTATTATGTATACATAAAATCCTGTGTTTTAAGAACGTTTCAGATTACTACTTTCATCAATCAAGTTATTTACTGTTCTATATTATACAAATGTTTATGAAAATCATACTGAAAACTTCTAAATTCATAAGTAGGTTACTCAATCAAAATAAAGAACCCTTTCAAAAGCTGTAGTAAATATAATGTACTCAGATAATGTTTGAAAAGGCAAGAAAATATTATAAAAAATATCTCTTAGATATGTTTGGAAGACTTAATTAATGCATGACAAATTTATTTATATATACTGATCAACTACTGTTTGTCTGAATATCAATAATTAAGATATCACTTTAATATCAATCTACTTGTTAACTAAAGGTTATTTGAAAGATCTAATAAAAAATTCAGAGAAAAATTAAAATGATTTCCAAAACGTTTTGAGGAAGGAAAAACAAAAAACAGTCTTGAAATTACAAATTCATTATATGTGTTCTTTCATGTTACATAAATCTCAGTGAAGTTAACCTCAAATTCTGTGGGATCTCCACTGCTTTTCTTTTCTTCAATTCCTTGAAACATCTCCTCACAAAACAAAGGTACAATACCTGATGGATGATAAGAATAAAATATTCTTCATTACACATGAACTGTATAACACATTAAAACTTTTATTAATGTCAGGTGATAAAAACACTAATACAATTTACTTAATGCAAAATTAATCCAGATAGAAATTTTCAGTTGTTTTTAAATACTGTTAAGTAGATTAGTTAAAATTAGACAACATGTTATTAGACCTTTGGCTGTTATAAAATTCTATTGTAAGTAAAGTAGCACAAAACCATTAAGTTAAAATTTAGTCAAAATAAGATTTTAATAAAATGCCATCTACTATTAATAAATATTTCAACACTGATATAACAGAAAATTATTCAAGTATTTTTTACCATAAAATGCAAGCAATGGATAAGACAATGGTGACTCTTTGTTTGAAAATACAAAATTTTGAATGTTTTAGTATTGAAATAAACATATAGGACCCACCTTTACTTACCTATTATTCGTTCTTGCCTTAAATTAGCATGAACAAAAGTCATAATTTCATCTAAATTTTTAAACAGTGCTGTCTGTACTTTGATATATCTTCCACAACAAATAATAATAATTAGCTCAAACTGGTTAGTACATGTGTCTTGAAGTTTTCAAACATATTTACATTGTTTATGTTATAAAGCTTATAAAGCAGTAGTGCTGTGAAAGATAAAAAGACTATTGATGAATGTTGGAAAGGACCAGCAGTGAACCCATCATGAATGAATAACTACTGAGGGTCACTTGTGGTAACATCCATAACAAGTTACCAATTGAAAACCAGCATGCAGTAATAATAGCAAAAACCACATGCTCACTTACAATGTGACCCAAGTAAAGCACCTCTTTCTGGAACAAGTGACATTTCATGGGATGGAGTTTGAGGTTTGCTGCTTTCAAACGCTTGATACTTCC